TTCTCCTGCCTCAGCCTCCCAAGTAGCTGGGATTACAGTTACGTGCCACCACGCCTGGTTAATTTTTGTATTTTTAGTAGAGACGGGGTTTCACCATGTTGACCAGGCTGGTCTCGAACTTCTGACCTCAAGTGATCTGCCCATCTCGACCTTCCAAAGTGTTGGGATTACAGGCGTGAGCCACCGCACCCGGCTGGTAATGACCCTTTTAAAGACATACCCTAAGAGAAAGCCAAGGGAGGCCAGTGACAAGGAGTGGGCAGGCTCTCTGGACCCTCAGGCCCACTGTCCAGTCTCTGTGGCAGGAACAGCTTAAGATGGAGGCAGATCCTTTACAGGTGGTGTCACCAGTTTCCACTAACTCACTCTTTTTATCTAATTCCACACAGCTGTGTGTGAGGATGTTCTGGCCCAGAGTTAAGGACAAAGGGGAACGGCTGGAAATCTACCCTTTAGGGCCCTTTCACCCTCTACTGTGATTTCTACTTCGTACATCATCTCTTCAAAAAACTGCTGAACCTCAAGGCTCCCTGAAAGAACCGAGGAATCCCACCTACCACCCCAAATGACCACGGCAGTACAGAGGTTCTGGAAGATGCCTGGCAGAGGAGTTATGTGAGGTTATATGACGAGACGGTAGAAGCATTGTGCTTTAAATCTGCATCATGACAGCAGCTGCTTAAGTCTTAGGAGGCCAAGAAAGAAGCAGTGGCTCTCAGCCACCAAGTTGGGGACACGAATGGGACAGACCCATATCCACAGGACTGGGCCAGGCACAGTGGCTCATGTCTGTAACCCCAGCACTTTGGGAGGCCGAGGCAGGCGCATAGCTCGAGGCCAGGAGTTCGAGACCAGCCTGGCCAACGTGGTGAAACCCCGTCTCTACTAAAATACAAAAAAATTAGCCGGGCATGGTGGTGCACTCCTTCAATCCCAGCTACCCAGGAGGCTGAGGCATGAGAATCGCTTGAACCTGGGAGGTGGAGGTTGCAGTGAGCCGAGATCATGCCACTGCACTCCAGCCTTCGTGACAGAGAAACACTCGTGGAAATTAATATTAACAAAATAACTGCAACCTATTTTCATAACCATCAAAGAATCCAGGTGGTGCGGGTTAGTGCCACCTAGTTCTATTTTCCAATGACTCTGGTTAAGAAATCACAAGTAACACAGGTCCACAATATAAAGTGCCTTGACACTACCGTGACCCCCATCCTCTCTGCCAAACTCAAACACACATCTCTTTCTCCTTAAGCTTTGAGTATTCCTGGATATAAACCACTGGCCTGGTTTTCTGGGAATTCTCTACAGTTACTGAAGAAAGTGTATTGCAGCTGAGTGCAGTGGCAGTGGCTCATCCCTATAAGCCCAGCACTTTGGGAGTAAAAGGCAGAAGAATCCTTTGGGACCAGGAGTTTGAGACCAGCCTGGGCAACATAGTGAGACCCCATCTCTACAAAAAATGAACAAAATCAGCCAAGCATGGTGGCTCATGCCTGTGGTCCCAGCTACTCAGGAGGCTGAGGTGGGAGGATTGCTTGAGTCCAGGAGGTCAAAGCTGCAGGGAGCTATGATTGTACCACCACACTCCAGCCTGGGTGATAGAGCAAGACCTTGTCTCAAAAAAAAAAAAAAAAAAAGTGCACCTCATCTTCCAACCTATCATATAGTCAACACGAAGCAACATGTATTTGCTTTGCTTTCCTTTCAGCTAAGGGAAAAAAGCATTCCTGAGAAAGAACTTTAAAAAGTAATTACATGGAATTACATGGTATGATCCTTAAAGTTCCTAGCAAAGCAGCTGCATTTCTTCTAGCTTCATAGTGATGACAAAATAAAAAGCTTTAACGGAAAGAGCAGCACAATAACAGCTTAGCAGTGCACTGTTTAGCTATGTTTTATTAATCATTTCACTTTGGAATTTGCAGAGACTGCTGCCTGGAATATGAAATGAGAAAAATAGTGTAGTCAAGAAAGACAGGGAGAAAGGGAGAGACAGAAAGAGATGGTGAGAAAGAGACAGAGACAGAGAGAGTACATGCTAATCCTCCCCTCTAAACCGTAGATATTCTTACACTTAAGGAAATCTTCGCTGGCCCCACCCTTGCCTCTCCCTCCTACCCCACCTCCAAGTCGACTTCTTTCTACCTGTGACTTATGCACTTTTTCTTTTAATCATCATGCTTGAGCTCCTTTTCTAGATCACAAGCTGCTTCTATTTTGTTGTTTTCTGTTTTTGTTTGTTTTTTTTGAGATGGAGTCTTGCTCTGTTGCCCAGGCTGGAGTGCAGTGGTGTGATTTCAGCTCACTGCAACCTCCACCTCCCGGGTTCAAATGATTCTCATGCCCTAGCCTCCCGAGTAGCTGGGATTACAGCCATGTGCCACCACACCAGGCTAACTTTTGTATTTTTAGTAGACACGGGGCTTCACCATGCTGGCCAAGTTGGTCTCGAACTTCCGACCTCAGGTGATCCGCCCACTTCAGCCTCCCAAAGTGCTGGGATTACAGGTGTGAGCCACAGCACTGGGCCTCATTTTTGAGTCCCTCACAGCACCTAGCACAGTACCTTGCAAAGAAAAGGAAACTTACAGGCCAGGCACAGTGGCTCATGCCTGTAATCCCAACACTTTAGGAGGCTGAGGAGGGAGGATCACTTGAGGCCAGGAGTTCAAGACCAACCTGGGCAACACAGCAAGACCCCATCTCTACAAAGAATAAAAACAATTTTTTAAAAATTAGCCAGGTGTGGTGGCACATGCCTGTAGTCTCAACTACTCTGGAGGCTGAGGCTGGAGGATCGCTTGAGCCCAGGAGTTGGAGGCTGCAGTGAGCTATGATGGTGCCACTGTACTCCAGCCTGGGTGAGAGTGAGACCCTGTCTCAAAAACAACAACAACAACAACAACAACAACAAAACAAAGGGAACCCAAAATTATTTGTTGAAGGATGAAGAACGCACAGCTCGAGTCTATCGGTTCTCATTGGTTCCCACCTGCATTTGAAGTCACATGATCCTGCTGCCAGCAAAACGTTGTTGGGATGCCAATCCAAGCTGAGGACTGTGGAGCGAATCGGCTTTTTAATGTGCTTGCTCACCCACCTATGAGAGGGGAAAACTGTTTCAGTTTATCCACTCAACAAGCATCCCCAAATGACCTACAAATTATGTCGGGTGAAAACACCTAAGCATGCCACACTTTTCCTTAATTTAAAAAAAAATGATAAAACAATTCAGAATGTTATCTTTTTCAGAATAAACTTTTTCAGATAGGTTTCTATGAAAAAAGATTCTATAGAAAAGTAACAGATCATTCAACGTTTTTCTGTCAGTCACCAGGCCTCCTGCCAGAGACAAGGTTTTTTAAGAACAGGTTATAATTTGAAACTGGCTAATTTTTGTATTTTTTGTAGAGGTGAGATTTCTGCATGTTGCCCAGGCTGGTCTCCAACTCTTGGGCTCAAGCGATCCACCGGCCTCAGCCTCCCAAAGTGCTGGGATTACAAGCATGAGCCACTATGCCCAGCTGACAAGGCGCATTTCTAAAGGACAGAAAGGAAAAGAACCATGAACAAGCACTTCTCCATTCCTGGCCTTGATGATGGCGGCACAACAGCTGGTTTTCAGTGGTCCTCATTAGTAAGCATAGATATTGATTAACTCAGTTACTTTCTTTGTGAGATTTTGGATTACATATGACATTAACCTCTGAGATAAAAACTGAAGTTTGAAAATACTTCAATTTTTATTATGAATATTCAGTGATTTGCTATTCCATTTTTGGTCAATTCGGGGTTGTAAGATAGCTTAATATCCTTCCCAAGTCTCCATGAATCTGCAAATTCTTTTTAATTTCTTTCACTGAAAAATCACAACCAAGAAATTGGAAGAACCTCATATTGGGGATTAGCCTCTAATTCTCTAGCACCATCCAAAAAAGATGATTTATGTCTATGACCAGTCAGTATTTTGGCTTAACTCATTCATTTCTGCCCCCAAACTGCTGTTTAAAAACCAATCGTGTCTGATTGCTCTACAGTTGGGAAACTAAATATTGAGCCAATGCCTTTCCTTGAATGCTAAATTACCTTTCTATAGAATCACTTTTTTTTTTTTTTGAGGCAGAGTTTCGCTCTTGCTGCTTAGGCTGGAGTGCAGTGGCGCAATTTTGGCTCACCGCAACCTCCGCCTCCCAGCTTCAAGCGAGAATCACTTTCTTTTATTTATTTATTTTTTATTTTTATTTTTTCTGAGACAGAGTCTTACTCTGTCGCCCAGGCTGGAGTGCAGTGGCGCAATCTTAGCTCACTGCAACCTCTACCTC